CCCTACTTGAACAGCTTAACAAATAGCCTATATTGTATGCATGATTAGTTTTATCTTGTTTTCTTCATAGAAGTTTATCATTAGTTTTAAATCGCTTTCTTCCTCTCGTACTACTCTTCGAGTTACTCGCACAGAGGTAACCTGTATTCCTCGTTCTCAAAATGGCAAAATGGCGTTGTATTGAAGAATGTACAGTTGTGAATTTTTAAAGGTAATTCTCGCCCTTGTTGTTAAGTATGTTTTTCGCCAGTGGTATGGTATTGTTTGAATTTTTCAAAGTGGCTGAACTGACGTTTAATATAATTCTACTAAGACATCAGTATTAAGACATCACGGATCTACGCTAGCTTTCAGAGTTCCGTGTCTCGTTTATACTTTAGAGCCTTCAGCGATATCTCGTTTGATTTTCCTGAAGCGCGAAACGGCTTAATTTCTGTGTATCGCGCATATATTTATTGTAAGAACAGATTCCATCTGTTTATGTTTCAGGTGAACGGGTAAGGGTGCTAACTAGTCTGATAAGCTTAGTAGTGTTTCTGACGGCGATTATAAAATTTCACTTGAAATATTAAGATTTTTCCCACTTCAAATTGGAGATATTAACTATTGTGGTTGAAGCGTGATTGGTTTTAGGCGTTTTTCAATGCAAACATGATTCGTCGCATATCCTTCCGGTTCCATTCCGCGACGTCGATACCGTTGATATGATCGGTCAAGGAAGTGGAAAACGTTGTACTGCGATTTATTTGCGACGTATGAGGATAAAGTGGGAAGCTGTGCATCAGATCTTTGTCTGCAAAGAGCAACAAGTAGGCCTGAAATGATGCTATGATTAAAATAGGATTTCAGTTGCAAATGCCGGAATTCTAATCTAAAGTATTTTAAAATCAGGTGTTTCATCGAGGCAGAATTAAATATGTATTTTATAGAACGGTTTTTCTTCACGATGCCTCGATGACCTCCTTCGTTTGGGACATGTTAATATCATGAAAAATAGTGGTGCATCTATCATACATTCTGTCTGCTCCTTCTAGCACGGTCGCGCATCAGGTCAAGATAGATGTCATCGACCCAGTTATGCTTCCGGGAAGCGGAAAATCTGACGTGCCGATCGCGGTTGAATCAAGCATTACTTCTGACTGGTCAGGCAAGACACTTAAAAAGAGAAGAGACTAGAGAAAACAGACTTTAACAGTAATTTTCTGCCGCCGTTTTGTTAATATAAATATTTTTGGTTTTCTATTTTTGCTGTTTGTCTGTAAATGATTTTCGTTCACTTAAATGCATTTCAGTTCTGCGAAATGCTTGTTTATCTTCGTGAATTTAAAATGGAAAGTGGCTTTCACCGAACATTCTCCAGACAATTATGAAAAAAATTCAAATTTCATTTAGTGTTTTTCTGAGCAATGGTACTAGTATGTTTTATTTACTTTTAGTAGTTTGGTGCTTGGATATTCGCTTAATGTGATTATTGAAATATATTTTTTTAAACAAAGCGCTGCAATCGTTTTTAATACGTTTTTGCCACAGTTGCTGGACGCACATATGCGAGTGTTGCAGAGGAGGCTGATGTCCGACCCGTCGAAAATTATTGTAGGATCTCATGGCAAAATAATTGAAGGTTAGATTGAGAAGAAATATTTGGTCCATTCTGGTACGACTGTTATTCTACTAACAGAGATTGTACTTTGAACAGTAACTGTGCGAGTGTTAGAATTCTTAGGTAGAAATTCTTTTCGAAAGTAAAGTCTCTTCCTTTTGCTTGTATTGCCATTGCAACAGGGTTGTCCATTTTGAAAGACTGTTTGCAAAATGCAAAGGCAAGAGTAGTCCAAATTTTGATACTGTCCTTTAAACTTATGTCATTTAACTATGTCCGTGTTTTACGACACATCGTCTGCAGATAACAGCTTTACAACACGTGAGATACCGTTCATGACGCTGACGGTCATCTACGAAAATGAAGTTTTCACGAAAGTTCAGAGACCTACTCTGTTATAAGACCGTTCATAAAAAACGGCAGTTCAAACATGAGATATATCGTTTTTTGAAACGCTCAACATTATAGTTAGATGATATATGAAGCTTCTTGTGTAACAGGAAATAGTTGAATAACAGTATGAGGCAGCAAAGATGGAAAATACATTATATGAGACGGTGGATGGAAAGCCGAAGCGGTATGTAGCAATTGTTCATTGCACCGGCTGCGGTGTCGAAGTGGTTCAGCATTGAATATAGCTGGGTCGCTGTATTGAACAAGAGATGAACATTTCGATACAAACAGTAGTTCTATCACTGCTGCTTTGCGACAAATTTTGCAGGCCAGGATCAGTCGTGCCCGTGCATTACATGTGCGCAGTATGATGCACATTAACGGGCAAGTTTCCAGTAGAAGAATAGTGTGCTAGAGTTGTTAGTGAGTTTCTTTGTCTCTTATAACAGCTTATTCAGAGTCAGTGGGATGCATATGCTTTATTGCCACTTCAAAGTGATGTGCAAGCGAGGGACATTAACTTTTGTAAGGAAAAAAGAATGACGTGACCCGAGCATTTCTGTTGGTAATGTACATGGTTCCGTTCTGCTGAACCACTGTTTATCGTTAGTGGTCGGAAACATGTACGCAGTCTAGTAAAATCATTTGACGATGCAAGAACGTGCTAATTTTTTAGAAATCGATATTGTTGATGCATTTAAAATGTCTGATAAACGGCTGGATACATGATTAAAGTTGAATGTAAATCTGCAGTAAAATCAAGATTTAATGTTCCCTGATTTAGTGCAAATGGATATAAAATAACTTTTTCAAGTGCTACCAAATTTCTGTGCAATCTATGCCTACTGTGCCTAATTAGTGAATTTCAATTCGAATAATTAGGTGTACTTAACGAAACAGTTCTTCCACGATGTATTCGAAACCACTCGTAACAGTGAGTCAGCACAAATCGCCGCTCATATGCCGTCGTGCTTTGTTTCTTATGCCTCAACGCGAATTATGTTGACGTCGTGCACAGAGATTCTGTCCTGTGGAGGCTGCGGTCTGTGTGTTTAGTAAATTCTGTTAGTGTTGTTCTATTTATGGTTTTGAGACTTTAGTTATTTCGACGACCAGAAAGAAGACAAGATTCCTTGCTGCGACCCGTCGTCAGTGAGGGTGCTTCACAGACGTAAACCCACTCTGTCAACACTTCTCCAGTCGTATCTATCTCTGCCTTCACCGTTGACCGAATAATTTGCTATTCGTCATAGCGTATTTTTAGACGACAAAAATGACGCTTCTGGTCCAGTGGAAACCAGATTTTAATCGTTGACCTCCAGCGGTTGTCTCCACGTGGCTGAACAATCTCGATCTTCGCTTGGCAACGTAGAAGGCAGAAATGATATCTTTTCATGGCACTGGAAGGTGATCTTCGACAGAGACCTTATACATTCTTCGTTCGATTGCTTTTTTTCTTCAGCATAGTCCCGTCAGCTTTACTAGTGCATCTACGTTTAGCGACATGGACCATGCCGGGCAGGACGATGGAATCGAACAGTTCTTCACATGCAATAGCAAGTGAACAGCGATGTTTAAGCATGGTTAAAACTGGCGAATACTGCCTTTACTGTTTTGTTGATTCTGCCTTTTAAACGTTATTTGGGCTCAACTTATTGTTGACCGTTTCAAATTAGTTGCTTTTTGCTGAAAATTCGTGCTTTCAGTGCGAATGATTTACAATGCAATAAGTACGTAGCCAATAAGAACGATACTGTCAATACTTCGGTGGTTGGTTCCATCAGAAAAATACCATTTTCTGTCCAACTTTGAAATTAAGTCTACCAGAAATGATTTCAATAGAACATTTTGAGGCAGTACATCTTTTTCGTATTTAATGCACAATTTGATTCTAATACGTGGAAACACTAAAGAAGAATCATTAGTTAAGTAACTGATTCGATGTCCTTCAGGAATACAAAACAAAAAAGCGGTGAGCGGCAACATACTGTATTAGGAAATAAAGAAAGCAGTTAAAGAAATAGGAAAAAGCATCTTCAATACAAAGCAAGGACAGAGAAGGTCAACCGTGAAGAACTCAGTAAAAAACGATGATAGCAACAGATCAGAAATAAAAGATCGATTACATTTAACTTCACAAAGAAACCGACAAAAGATGTCTGAGCATTCAACTGCCGATTGTTGATGGAAACTACTGCAAAAAACCGAAGCATGAAAAAGTTAAAGCGACAACGGAAAACAGCAAATTTCAGCTCTTAGAACAGAAGACGTAACCGTCAGCGGGGGACACAAAAATTCTAAAGAGAGTGGACGATTTGTATAGAAAATTGTACAATAACTATGAATACAGCATCACCGGTAAGAATAAAAATGGCATGGAGCCGTATAAAAG